GCATTTTAAAAGAAAGACCTTAAAAATCCATTTTGCACGAGCCATTAGGCACACATGTTAGCCAAACATCTCTTGTTCCAAAGTAAACTGCGCCCCGGAGGTTTTTCACGAAAAGTCGTCGAATTTCTTCGGTTCGTAGGGCACGGATCCGTCTACTGGAGAAACCCATGAGAGATAGAATGCGGAAATATTGAAGAAAGTGAAGATGTATGTACGCGCCATTCACGATAATGTCAGCGTTACGTTATTGAGTAGTGGCAAAAGTGATAGGGATCTGAATCTTTAGAACTTGTTGAAAATAAAGAACAGTATAAGACAGAGACGAAAGAGTTTCAAATATTTGCCTAGGAAATGTCAAGAATTAGTGATGACACAGTGGCCTGCGTGAAATATTGATTTTCAAAAATATCGGTGTATTTGAAAGAGACATTTCAAATATTTATCTTTCGTTAAATAAATATCAAAATATATAGAGTGTAACTTTTTTGCTACCGAAGATAGAAATATAACGGTACAAATTAGAACTGTAAAACGTAATAATAAAATATAGCTAAAAATTGTGCGAGACGTAATCTCACGTATGTGAAGTTTTGATTAGAGTCTTACGTACAATATCCGTGAAGAAAGTAATCCTAGCCGCGAACAGGATAAACGAGCTCTTCTCCCTCTTTCTTTTATATAGTCACCAACACCATAGTTGCTTTTCCCTTCGCGCGCTATAACGATCCGCCCTCCAGGAATATCTCTATCCACCTGTCTACATCCATATCCTTCAGACAAAATTGTCTTCCGAAGTGGCTTACAAATATATTTCAATAGAAACGTAATATTCTGCAGTCAGTTGTATTGGCTGTTCTTGAATCGTTCCTGGTTTGCTCGCCCCCTTTTTCTTCTCAAAGGGATTTGCTTCCATAGACGTGTACGTATCATACATTCGTCATGTCTAAGCGACGAAGTAATATCGCTTCTACTTGTACGCGAGATCTCGTAAAGCCGACGATACAAAGTATCGCAGATAACACGAGCGTGTACATCGTCTTAAAAAATGTGTACATTTTTTCCTCGAACGAAAAATACTTGTCGAACAAACGCGAGTCTTCGATATGATCGTATTGCACGATATTTCGATTTCAATGGAAATTGGTTGCAGTTTGCCTATAGACTTCATAAGTTCCGAGAATAAGAACAGATCTGTTACGAACGATAAATAAGTCCAATCTCATTTTGAACGATAAGAACTTTTTCCTGCAAAGACTTCAAGATTCAAAAGCTCTTTTTAATTCTTCGATGTAAATTATATATTTCAGAATAAAATATATAATTCAGAATAAAAAGTGATTAAATTTTTATATCGTCTCGTAATTCGATAATTAAAATTCGGTAACGAGATAAAAAATTAAAAGAAAAATAGACCATTAGTGGAAATATTTTAGTTTTTTAATTATTAAACGCACATTTTTCATTAATTTATATTACATTATTAACTCGTGCGTATGCAAATCTATATGCTGTCATTAAATTCTATCAGAATTTGTATTTGTAAATATAATATGTAGCCTGCAAATTGCATAAAATAAATTTTATATTTATATTTGTTATTATAAAAAACATAAAAGATAATGTTCAACGCATTATTTCAGGCATTAAAATATATTATGTATATAAATTTAAAAATAAATTTAATTACTTATAAAAAAGAAAAAGGGAGAGAAAAAGAGAGTAAATAGAAAAAAGAGACATAATTTTGTTTGGAAAGATAATATTGTATATACAATCCACAGGATTATTATGTTTGTCCGTTAAATTTCTTTGGAAGATGTAACATATGCTTCGTATTTTATTTTCTCGTTTTACACCGCGACGTATCTCAAGAGCAGACGCTCCGAAGGGTCGCGACAGCTCCGAACTTTTGTCAATATTGATCCCCCTCTCTTTACACGCGTGGGGGGTGTACTTACGCGTTCGGCTAACGTATGTCTTCGATTTTTAGAAGCTTTAATGCGTTTCGCAAACAGACGACCGAAAGCTACACTTTAGTCTCGCCATTCTCAATGCATCCCATATGACTAATCATGTTTTAAATCACATTACGCGAGTCCACAAGCGCTCAATTTGCAAGTACAACATTCGAAGTCTCAGCATGCTGGACATGTGAATCCATTGACGGATTTAATCATACGTTTGCTCTCTGCAGAAAGTAAAACAGAGTTAGTTAGTCTCCTTTGTAAAACGCATCGCAGCTACATGTTCATGAACATAATATCGTTAGTTATCGTCGTACGTAGCGAATAAATTAAATTTCCATAAAGTATAGGACACAGAAATTGATTTTTCACCGTCTCCCTCGTTGGCGTTACCTACAATCTTTTGCGACCTCTGAGCTATTGGAAAGGTCTCGTGTGTACGACGGGAGGGCAAGAAAAAGATTTCAAACTGCCGGTGCCCATTTATCGTCGCGCTACTTTGCTTTAATTAATATGCGCTAACAACGTTAATTAATGCGGCATAGCCACGACGGGTGACCGACGAGGACGTGCAGAAGGGACAAGGAATTCTCTCCTCTTTCGTCTGTCTATCCATCAAGAGCGGCTTGTGTCGCATTCAAACCGAGTTGGCGCCTGCCACCCCTGCCACCTTAACTTCGACATCAGAGGCTTCTGGAGCGATATTATCTGTAGGAAAGTGCTCGAGAATATTATACGTGCGTAGTGTACATACCCTATCGGGGCCAGCTACTTTAACTGTACTCGACGTTGGATGATAGAGAGGAGAGGGAGTAAAAGGGAGGGGGAGGGGGTGAAAAGCAGGAAGGTGGAAGCATCCACTAGACGGTAGCGACTACTGCTAATCGAATTATCGATCCCTGTCCGCGTTCTCGAAGCGAATATTAGATTTTCCGCGAATTTTAATGTACGACGAAGCCCAACAGGCAGACTTCTTTTCCTCTTTTGGAGAACGTCAATGTGATAGTAAGCAAAAAGATTTATGTCGAAATAAATTTGCGGCGTCAAAATTGTTGCTTTAATGACAATCGCATATGTCTTTTTCCGCATTTTTATTACAAAATTTGAAAATTAACAAATGATAATATCTAAAGTATACTACGAAAATTAACAAATAATAGTATCTAAAATATACTACGAAAGTAGATTACATATTTATAAAAATATGTGCATTATTCAAGAATCTATCCTTGAACAAAAAATATCGCAATTTATTGTTGCTTTTTTCCCCTATGTTAATTGCTTATTTCAATAGATACGCTATGTGTTTTTCCGTATCGATGAAAGATCTGTTATTAAGCGATGTAATTTAATCGTGTAATTTTACAGCTTGAATGTTAAAGTTGTTGTGTAAGTAATTTTATTAATTTTATATGAATTTAATACCACACATTTTTGCATTTGAAGAACGTAGTAAATTGTAATACATTCTTCTCGCGTTTCAAATAACACATTGAAAGACCATTATCGTAGAAATTGTGTATTTTGATAGCTTTTCCAATATCAAATGCGCACGGTTGTTAAGTTAATTTGCAGTATAATGTTATAAACAAAAAATGTTTGAAAAATGTTGCTTAAAAAAATTATTATAATAAAACTGTTAACATTTATACATATGATTTAACATATGATTCTATGCAATGCCAGTTCTACGCGTGCTATCCATGTATTATAATTCTTTTATTATTATTATTTTATTATTCTTTATTATTACTATTATCATTATTATATATTATTATATATTAATTAATGTCTAATAGAAGTATTCTCAAAACATTTATCGTGAATTATTACTTGCATGGAGACATTAAATTTATACGATTTTAAAAAAAGTCTCGACTGTATTTTTTATTTTGAGAGTATTTTTTATTTTCTATTTCCAGTCGCGACTTGTTTTTCCATCATATCGCTTAGCAAAGAGCTAGTTTATTACAAGTGAGTGATTTTTTCCTTCCTGCATACGTCGGATCTAATTTTAGGAGCTCGATAGCAATGCCGCAACGCATTTCTCTCTGAATACGGAAGATTCCGGCCGCATTCTGCTTTCAGGTGTCCGCAGGTAAAGATGAATCGCAGGAACGTTCAAGGGAAGCACTTACGCGATGGATACATACATATACAATACATACATGAGACATCGCGTAAGCGTGTTCAAGGCACGTTCCTTCGCGCAGAAACCGCGTGCGGTCGGGCGGTAGGAACAGGGATAGGTGGGAGGAGAGAAGGAGGGGGTTGGGAAGAAAAGCAGGAACCTCGGAAAATGTCAGAGAAAAATTCCAATATGCCTCGAAATTCTGGCGGCCGTGCATGGAATGCATCTGAGCCCCTTGATTGTGCTTCGGTAGCATATTTTTCTCGTACTTCCGATATTGCACCGGCGAGTTCCTCGCTTTATAACTGCGTGCGCCATTGAATCTCCGCTTTCCTCGATCCGTGCAAGGTGCGCCATGTGCGTCCACAAAGGACACAGAACTTTCTTCCCATTTGTACCTATATCAAAAGCAGTTTTTGCGATCCGTTTATTTTTCCTATGACCGAATGCAAGATATTTATTTCATTTAAATGTTATATCAAGTGTTTAACGAATCTCTGTCATAATTGATTTAAATTTATAAATGATTATGAAATTGATTATTAAATTATTATAAATTGATTATGAAATCTATATCTTTCTGTAAATATTTTTTAATCTTGATGTATATACTTTGTTGCAGGTGATGCCTCTTCCCCGTATAAACTTCTTGGCCATTTCATCGATACATTTGAGCGGCTCGTTAATGCTAATAATGCCCATGTAAGAAATAATCGTTGACAACGTACCGATTATTCTCCATCCATTGACGCACTTGTTTCATCTAGTGCATAATTTTGTCGTGCATTCATAATCAATCCGATCATTGGATACCGAACTGAAATCGATTCGACATCTAATATCATTGGCGTTATTTGAAACAGTAAATGATTGTCTACGCACCGCAAAGTATCGATAGAAGATCTTTTCGCGATACAAGCCACGTACCCACTCGGGTACGGTAGATCCTTGGCCGAAAACCAGCATCAAGATAAAGTCAGTGGGAGCTGCACCGCAGGATGCGCGGGAACGGGTGGTGCTGTTAGTGGTGGATAACAATTCGTTGGAAGAACCAGCGAGCGGCGAGAAGGGGGGCCACGGAAACGGCCCCCGAAAGGGCCCGCTGGATGGTCTAGCCTGCGAGCAACCATCGAGGAGACCTAATCAGCAAGAAGGTAAGAATATCCAAACGACCGAGACGCAGGACTCCGATACCGACTACGGTTCAGATCTGGCCGCGGTGGACACCGGGCTGGGATCGATCGACGAAGGTGTAGACCTCAATGAAAGGATCGGAAGCGAGAAAACAAAGCGGCCGCAAAGCCCCATAGTGTCGACGATCGACAACGCCGTCCCGATCTTGATACACTGCAAACGTCATCCGGAGGAACTCAACGGCGCAGCCTTGGAGCTACAATCGACCGGTAATAATTCCGACGCGCGTTCGAAGCGTTCGGAAAAGACGTTGGACGACGGCAACGACGACGGCAACGACGACGAGCAACCGGCGAGGAGAATCTGCGCTGCTCATCGGCACAGAGTGTCCTGTCACATAATACGAACCCACGCGGAGCCACCCTGCCGAAGAGACCGAAGCCGACCTTGTCGTGTTCATGATCGCCGACGGAACTGCCCGAGAGGAAAATCGACGGAGAGACCAGAACACCGGAATCTGAGATACCACGATCCGGAGAACGCCATCATTCGATTAGAACAGGATCCGATACTTCGTCCAGTGCGCATCCTCGGTTGTCCTCCAACGGAGGATCAGGAGATATCTTCCTTTCTGGAGCCAGCTGGGCCTAGTTGCGTCTACCCGGGCATCAACGTGAGTCAGTTCGCCGGCGGTGAGCCGTCCTGTTTCGCTCAGCACAATCCGGACAATATTCTGCCCAAGAGCCACGTCGGCAACATCGCCAGATTCCTCGACGGGCCGAATCGCGCCGTGAAGGACATCAATCGCAAGATCCTGGCGATGGCACGTGCCATGACGCCCGCCTGGTCGCTACGTCTGCTCGGCGTCAGCTGCGGCTCCGTAGTTTGCGCCTGGGGACTTTTGCTAATATTATCCGTGCTCGGTGGCGGCGCCTCGCATGGCACCGGGATCGGTAGTTTCGGCCTCGGTAGTATGACGGGTACGATGGACGATTTGAATCCAATCAGGTGTCCTTGGGCATGCACGTGCGGCGGACAAGAGGTCGACTGCTCTTATCGCGGCCTGACGCAAATACCTGGTGACCTGGCGAGCTTGCTCATCGCGGAAAAACTGTAAGTAATTATTATAATTTGGAGAGTGCATGATATGATTGTGCTTATAAAAAACATTTGTATAATATGCATTAATGTGTATGTTTGCGTGTGAAAAATGAATTCTTTCATAAAATAATTTTACTCAAACACGCGTTGTCTTAAAAGAAAAGACAACAATTTGACTTTCTTGTCTTGTTTGAGTATTGATTTTCTAAAAAAAGCTACTAAAAATATCTAAACGTAATAATTACTTCACTTATAACATTACACATAATTAGAACGTCGATATTATAATTATACGAGAGTAAAATTAGCCGAAGATTTAATTTGTGTAACTATAGTTTTTAGTTTCTCGAGAAAAATCATCAATGATGATTTCAACCGTGTCGAATTAACGTCTCATTTAAAAATTTCAGAAGAGACAACAATTTGACTTTCTTGTCTTGTTTGAGTATTGATTTTCTAAAAAAAGCTACTAAAAATATCTAAACGTAATAATTACTTCACTTGTAACATTACACATAATTAGAATGTCGGTATTATAATTATACGAGAGTAAAATTAGCCGAAGATTTAATTTGTGTAACTATAGTTTTTACTTTCTCGAGAAAAATCGTCAATGATGATTTCAACCGTGTCGAATTAACGTCTCATTTAAAAATTTCAAGTGGGAGATTTTTATTTGACTTTTCGAAGATTAATTTGGAATACGGGACAAGTGGACTCAACGCGTAAATTTCGAAATATTACGCCATGATCCCAAAGCACATTCATGCATAATAACGCGCGTGTGTTTCAGTTATATAATTGATGTTTTTTAACATTCGCATTTTTCGGTTTTTCGTTTTCGATACATGACGAGCCGTAGCACTACGCGGCAGATATTTTCAATTTATTTATAAATCAACCGGAAATCTAAATTCGTGTTTGCTTTTGAGAGAGACTGTTTCAAAATATCGTCGGTCAAATAATCGATATGGCGATAAAAAAAAATCGACTCGCCTGTGCGGATCGTAGCGTTCGCTTCGTTATTCGCAATCCATTCCTTCGGGAAACAATCCACATCGTCTTTTTTGCAAAGCAACTGCTATATAATGAACGTTGGCTTCTGCCGCGGCTCAATAAGTTCCTTTCGCTCGTGTATTTGTATACGCATACTTAATTGAACCAAATTTAACAGCGAACACCGCGAAAAATTCAACGACGGAGGTTTTCGAGTCATGATATTTGCATATTTTTATCGAATCGAGATACCGAAATAACGACTATTTAACAACTGCGCGCTCTTGTTGCCGGTTGGGACAGAAGGTAATGCAATAAAACCGGGGGGCAACGCTATAATATACATTACAGTCGGCAATAAAAGGAGATATAAAGAATGCCTTACGTTCTCCCGAAGAATTCTCAGAAATATTGCAGTGCTCCCTTTTTACCAATAATACTGTCTCGAATATTATAGTACCACGCACATCCGCACATTGCGCTCAATAATGTCTCGGTATATTTATATTGATTTGACGCGAAATAGGTATCCCGATTTTCGGGTAAGCGATATTGTCAGGAGTCCATAGAATGAACATGCTTTGTTTCTGCTTTACGCAATCTGCGCAATTCAAATAAAAGCACCGACATTCATTGAAATGATATATTAACTCTTTATCGGATCTTTATTTACCGATGCAATATTGCACAATTTGCGAGAAACGTATTTACTTTTTTTCGTATTGTATATTTTCAATGAGATATTACAATGTCATGATCATAATTAAATCAATAGTAAATAAGGTAATAATAAAACCCAGGTAAATATTTAATGAATGCAATATGAATTTTGATGTATTGTCTGAGTGTTTGCTTACGTAGATATTTAAAATCAGTCCCGTAGACTAATTGAGTTATAAAAAATACGTGCGCTCAATCTCAATTTCATTATCATATTTTTTTTTTTGAGACGATCTCGACATCACATGTCGATAAATCTGTGATGTTCAATGTAGATACATTAACGGCTTTTGATTAGCATATGATTAATATGCCGTAGATGAGCGTAGAGAGATACCAGAAATAATTAAATCCTCGAAATATATTGACACGCGATAACTCATCGTGAATGCTCGAAGGACCAATCTTGAAAATACCATTGACTCGAAACACGAAATAGCTGCCGAATCGACAGACGACGTCTTTTTACGCGAGATTACGAACGCCTAATGTGTTGGCGCGGGCCACGAAATTCATTACGTCTCGTAAGCACGGACCGCTCGTATCTCAAAGAATATGCGCGCGCGTGTCCTGCCTGTAAATTAAGTTCAGAACATCAAATCGAGCATCGCGACTATGACACATCGCGTTAAAATGCGCGTACGATATTGATGTTAAATATTAACATGTTTTTTTTATTCGTACGCCGGACGACACGCGTGGATATATTATTTGTGTACTGTTATGTGGACGCACGTGCGTATTTTGAAATTTGTTGAAACCATCGGATCGATACCGATATAATTGGCTCGAAATATATATTTGACGCAGATATATTGCAGATACGTCGCGTAATATATCCGGAACATCGACGTATGGATACCACTAACACAGTACATTATAATTTAACTAAAAAAGAAGTAAAAATACGTAAGATATGTCGCATAGAAGGAATTTATAGTAGCATTGCTCTAGCTTACATTATCACATTTAAACCACTATCGAGAATGCATGATATCGGTATTTACGATCGATGCCAGAGCGAGCGCTCGAAATGAGATTAATGATTGCAGTCAATATGCTTGTATGAAAGTGACGTGATTGATAGCAAGCATGTATAAAGTAAGACTACGAATACGGTGAGCGAAAAGATTCGAGAGACGGGCGGTGAACGGAAATACTATGGTATAAAAGTAACGTCATTTATTTTTACATTCCTTTTACTAAAACTGTTAACATCCAATAATTTCTATCAATTTTATTAAAATTTTGCACATATACATATATTTTATTAAAATCTTACACATATATTACATATCTGAATAAATAAGAATATCTTACATATTTATATATCTATCATATTTTATTAAAATCTTATCTTTTACTTACATTTAAATATTTATTATATAATAACGCAAGAGATAATTATAAAATTATAAAATTATAAAATTATAAAATTATAAAATATCACTTCACCTATATAAAGATTTTTGAATAATATATTCTTAAATTTTTTAAATACACATTCTCTACGTTTTCCATATCAATTTATGTTCCTAAATTCGCGTTAATCAATGAAGCTATAATAAACGTCGGCAAAATCATCAACTACAGGAGACGGGCGATATAGATGAGCCACTTTGATCACTATCCAACTGAGAATCACTGTTTATACCTGTTCACCCGCAGCGAGTCGATCTTGGGATAATTAGGAACCCAAGGCAACTAGATTTCCCTCTTCATAGCCAACCCTATCTAAATCCGTAGCCTGCAGATGGCTAAACGTTCCCATGTTATACATGAGTATACATTGATTGGTGTCACTACCAGCCATACCTTGCTATCAGTAGTTCGAATAAATCTCCGGGGACGGTTCTAAGCTATGATGTACATGATCTAACACGCCTGAGGAAGATCCTGGGTAGAATGTATATCGCGCACAAATATATTTAATATTATATGTAGTTTAATATTATATGTAGTGAATTAAATTATTATCTTGATTATATCAAGTTCATAATTATGTTATGCGTTAACAGGATTTTCTATAATAATATTTCATAACACGTTATTATGATCATATAATGATCATGTCATGTGAAATTTATCAATTGATATCAATCGATTATATCGGTAATATAATTTCGAAAACAAGGAATATATATATATATATATATATATATATATATATATATCCTAGTACTAAATTAAGAAATATTCTTTCTACATGACATGATATTTTTTATTATATTATTATATGATTGTAAAAATATTTTTTATTTCAATATTGAATAATTTTCAATAAAATTTTACTTTAAGGAGAATATTGATAAAATAATACAATAGTAATTCTATTTTAATTTTATTATTTAATCATTAGCGACAAATCTAAACTTTATTTTATCGCCCTGTTTATATCCAAAATTTTCGTTTTTTTAATAAAATAATGTGTCGACGATTAATGTAACATATTCTTTCTCGCATCGAAGCAACCATTCAGAAATTCACAAATATATAGAAGCTTGAGATCGATGCCGTACTTTGCTTCCGGTAACGTTCTGCTTTCATGAGTGGAGCACGCCGTTGTATAATAGTCGTACGTCTACGCGATATCGCCTGCACTTATGATTTTTCGATTAAGCTACGTAAACAGAGTACACGGTAAGCTAAACATCTGCCAGCATGGGCCAAGTGTTTGGGCAAGGCTCCGATACGTTCAGCCAACTAACATTCAACGAACTGACGTCCGTAAAGTAACGTCCTACATTCAGTTCACCTCGACTTGTAGCTACCGCACTACGATGCAGTAAATATTAGAATCGACACGTGTGGCAGCCATTTTGTTGATCCCTCACCATTCCCGATATTTACATTTTCCAACCGCTTGTAAGCCAGATTTTACCGACTATCTTCATGCCCGCTCGCTAAATACATATTTTCCTGTCAGCATTGTTCCATTATATTTATACAATCGCAGAAAATATTGTCGAGTATCTTCCAATTTTACATGTCAATTATAATTTCGGAGTGTCTTCCAATTTTACATGTCAATTATAATTTCGGAGTGGAACTGCCGATTATACATTATCGACAAATATATCTCACATTTCCATTATTTTCAGATTAATTCAAAAATCTATAACAATGCGAAGATATCGTAATATTATATTACATGATAATACTTGCAGATTTGTTATTAAAATATATATAGCTTTATAAGAGCTTTATAAAGATATAATTTAATATACCAACTGAATATCGAAAAACGATTTTTATTTTTTATTTTAGAAATTTTGGAAAAATTTCTCTCAATTTAA